TTATCTTCAAGCAGTAAGATTGATATAGACTATCATTGTTTATTAACAGATAAATTATATGGGATATAAGGCTACGGATAGATTGAGATAGGTCCAATTAATGGATTTACCGTTTTGAGTTATCTATATTTAAACATAAATATAATCTTCGTGAACCAAAATGATATATTTCTTCTACTACTTATTATTTAAATCTTATTAATTAATTCTCTGTGTTTCATGTTGTTCTAATATAAGCTACGTGCTATTAATCAAGTGTTTTAAACTCTATATGATTTCCCTAAAAAATGTGTCTCGAGTGTCCAATAGCTAGTCCAAAGTAACATATTTCTTTGACTTGTTAAATATAGTTAATTTGGGTCTTGAATTATGCAACAAACGTACGTGCAGTGCATAAAAAATATATGATTTTAGATCGTATAGTCATATAATATGTTTTCACTCTACCACATCATCAAAATAGGAGAGATAGGAACAGAAGGGTCATCAAAAATAAGAGAGAGAGAGGAACAGAAAGGAAGGAGGGGCCAATACATCTACGTACGTACGTACGGTAGCATGGCGTGCGTACTACACGTACAGGTCGGAAGGAGAGGAACGTGGGCCTTTCAATTTTTTTATTTTTTATGGTAAAAAATAATAGGTCCACCATATTTAAAGAAAAAAAAATCTAATTTATTAGAGTGCCATATGGCAGCTTAGGAGTGTTTGTAGGAATTTTTTTGTGACGGCTTGAAAGCGTTTGTAGGATGTTTAATGGACTTTTAGTATATAATAGATGTTGAAAATAAACTTAGATGATTTTTTTTTCAAAATTAACTTTTAAAATCCAAATTTTAGGCAAACCACGAGGGCCTCCATCGCTAGCTCCTCTCCCTCCCCCTGGAAAGCTATCACTGTACAGGGGAAGAGCAGGACATACTAGTAAGGTGGATACTCAAATATACAAATGGTCTTAACTAATCTAGGCTATAAAGATTGTAAAATACATAACTTTGCACACATAAATAACTTGTCAAAGAGCTGTATGTTTGTAGCTGGAGTGAAGTATGCATAGAGCAATACATGAACAATACACTGAATAAGTACAAGCCAACCCCAAATGAATAGTTTGAGGGCTGGGATTAAAGGTTAGTACACTACACTACTATATACTGTATTGTACATTTTACACAGAATAAAGCATGTGTGCTTTATTCCAGTAGCATCTTCTATAAGTAATCTCCCATCAAGAACTGGAGAAATATATACATCCAGGAAGATGGGCCTACTGCACTCTGCAGCAGATTGTTCCTATGCTATTTGTTTATCAGTGGTCCTTCCTTGATGACCTAGAACCTGGTCTAGATGTCTTCAGTGCCTCTGCAAATTTGTGAATCTTCTTGGCATCTTCAGGAACCGTGGCTTCACCATTGCCAAGGTGAGAACTATGCCCAAAATTACTCACTCTCCCCTCCCCAAAAGACACACTCTTGACCCCAAGATGGAGGTTTCTTGCATCTGCGATTTCCTTGCTGAGATGTCGAGCACTTTGGCTGTCCATAGAATGCCAACGGGAGCCGTGATTATCATGCTGTTGATTGCCAGAATTACCAGGTTCTGTCATGAATGAAGAATAGCTATCAATTGACTCTCTTCCATTGAACTCGTCAAATGAACAGCTCGAAATCGATATCCTCCTCTCCAGAGTAGGAATGGTTTTGTTCTCCTTTTCTTTTCCCAGTACCAATTTCCGAAGCTTCGAAAAGAACTTTTTCTTCTTAGGGTTCTTGTGCTTGTTCATCAGTGAGACATCGATCGACGCGTCGTCGGGTTCGCCTAATGATGATGCTCTTGAGGAAGAGTACTCTGAACAGAACTCTATATGATCAAAGTTTTTCTCATCCGGACCAGCATTTGCGTACTCCATTATCAGTTGCTTGGCCTTCTCTTCAGATTGGGGGCTTAGTGTCTTGCTAAGATCCCTTGCAACATTTTTCCCTGATGGAGCATCCTGGTTCCTGAGCTCGTAACGCAGGCAAGCGTTGATCCATTTCAGATATACCAATTCCTCAACATCTGAAAACCTGTCAGTCTTGAGCTGTTCAACCTCTTTTGCCAGCTTGTCATTTTCTTGCCTCAAATGATCAGCTTCCTGCAATGCTTTTACCTGCAACCAATTTTACTTGTTCAGTTCCTGACAGAGCAACACAAGCTGAAGTAAACACTGAAAAATGAGTTTGAAAAATCAGTAGCGCTTATGAGAAACAATTGATTGCTCTTTCAAACCAAATATCAAGAACAGCGTTTCCTTCTGACGAGTAACAACCTCTATCTGAAGATTAAGATTGATTAGTAAGTGCCAGCTACAATACAGTTCAAGAACAGTAAATATTCACCTCCATGTTATTGATGGGCTTGGGTACAGGGGGCAGGCGTGTGAGCTCCAATCGCCTGGCAAGATGTGCATTCTCCTGCTGCAGCCTTGAATTGACAACCCTAAGCTCTCTTGCCTCATTTTCCAACTCCTCTAGCTTACTCAATTTTTCCTCAACCTCAGCACTGAATTTCCCCTCAGTAATAATCTCCTTACACTGCCAAGAATCGGCCATTTCCTGAAGTGAGGCAATTCTCTCCTTTGCTTGTTCTGCATCCTGTCTCAGCTTCTTCTTCAACAGCTTGCATTTCATTCTAGCTGCCTCAAGCTCTGAAGCCAGCTTTGAGCTTTCAGTTAACTGAGCCTGCAGCCTCTCATTTTCAGACTGCAAGGATTCGATCTTCAGCGTGTATAGCTTCGATTCGACGGTGTTGATCTTCAGCTGATTCTCGAGCTCCCGCACCGCGACATCTTGCTCCTGCAAACCATAGCTCTCTAGAAGCTGTAGCTCCAGGGTCTTCTCCCTTTCTTGAAGTGATCTGACCATTTCTCTAAGCTCAAAAATTTCCGGGGTCTTCGTTGCATCTTCTTCGCTTACCCTTGGTGCAGGTGAGGTTGCAATGTTGCCCATGTCTCGGCCGAATTCTTTGAGAACTATTTCGTTGAATTCTGGGAGGAGGAATTCTTCATCATCATCAAGAGTTCTACATTTTGGGGGCAGTGGTACTAACGCGGTGGTGGTCATCGTTGTAGTGGTAGTGGTAGTGTGGACAGAGTTTCCATTGATGATTTTGGCCTTGGTATCCTCCTTCACAATCAAAACAAAAGAGGGTCAACATAAGGAGAAGAAAAATGGAATACAATGGTAACATTTGAGGACAAGTTGTATTTTGTCAAACTGCTGGAATAGAAACAAGCAGTATGAGACTAAAAAAATAGAGAAGAAAAAAGGTTGAAATTAAAAAACAAAAGCAAAGTCCACACCCCAAATGCATGTGATATGGACAGACTTAGAGAATTTATAATATAATGAGGAAAATATAGCTGGATTATGAACAGTTCAAGACCATACATCCAAAACTGAACCATTCTAAATATAAATGGAAGTATGAAAAGTACATTAATATATACAATTTATAATAATTATGTGCAAACAAGATTCTTACATTCTTGAGGATCCTCAGCTCATCCTTGAGCCCTCCACCACCCTTCATTCCATCCGAATCTGCAAAAAAACATCAAGAAACGATTCATCACCAAAATTTTCTAACTAGGAGTAGCAATCAGCAACAAACAACGGGTTCACAATTCCGGAACGAAATTCCCAAAAATTCAGATTGACCGGTGGGTCCGAATGTTCCTCCGGCCCAAAACGAATCAAATTTATTTGAAATTGAGCCAAAATATTGTTCATATTCCAATTTTTCGTTGAAATTTCATTTTGTTTTCCATCTGAAAATCTGGAATTTCTTCCCGAAATGAAAAAAAAACGTTGAACAAGACGCCTCTGCTGTTGATACCTGAGCGAGGAGGAGGAGGAGGTAACCGGAGTTGCTGCCGTGGCCGCCGCCGCGAGAGGAGCAGCCCGGCGACGGAGAGCGCGACGGCGGCGCCGACCCTGAGGAAAACAACGCGCAAGTCCTCGCTCCTCCGGCCACCGCCGCCGCCATCTCCGGCCACCTTGGGCATCTCCCTCTTCACCTCACCTCACCACCACCTTCTTCCCAAGAATCCACCACATGCAGACTGCAGCAACCAACCAGCAATGGAAGGAACACAAATAATCTCTCCTACCTTGATCACCAAAAAAAAAAGATAATAAAAAAAATCCAAACATTTGAGCAAGAAATTGAGACTTTCTTTTTGACTGCAAGAAGATTATGGCCAAGAACCTGAACCTGTTCTTGGAGGGGCTGAAACTTGCATCAAGAAATACGAGCTCGCTCCAGCCCCATGAAGCTTGCAGGCTATATCTCCATGGCTTCGAATCGACCAGACCGGGGAGGAGATTAACCCAGCCTAGCCAACAAAGTCTCTGAATTTGGTTTTGGGATTTGTACTGCCTGAGACAAAATCCCCAAATTAGGCTGCCTAAGCAGCAGCTAAAATTGGGGGTGTCAGGCAAGGCTCCGGATTCAGCTCACGGCCATCGAAAACGCCAAGAAAAGCAAAAAAGCAAGAAAGAAAGCACCCCAAAGCTAGCAAGAACCCTCCAATCTCTCTCAATCTCTCTCTCCTATTTCTGTTTGAGCTTGTTTCCTTTCTGTCTTGGCCTGTTCTTGTTCAGAAGGCAGGACAACTCCAAGGAATCTGGCTTTGTTCTCTAGCCAAGATAGTGCTCTCTACTCGTGCAGCTTGTGCTGCTGCTTTTCTTAACTGGATGGACAATTGGAGTGTTGGACATGGACTCCTCTCTCTCTCTCTCTCTCTCTCTCTCTTCCATCCCTTTCTTGCTGCTTCGACAATTGATTATAGGTTATTAACTCTGACCAGTGTTGTTGTTTACTTGGCCATGTCCATTTCAGCTCAGTTTTTTGAGGAATTGCTGCCGTTGGGAGGAGGGTGGAATTGATGGGTGGATGAGACGTGGATTGTTGCTGTGGGCGTTTGACGTATCTTTCATGTGATTTCGTCAGACCGTGCGAGAATTTGCCAGCATGCTCGAGCTGGCTACGGCCTACGAATTGATGAAGGCGTGTTTTGTTATTAGTGGCTGGTTGTGTTAATCACGTGGTTCATCCTCTTTCAGAGAATAATTGCGCATTTTGCGTGTAAGTCGTGCCTCCAGCAGAGTCTTTTACCCCTATGCCATTAAGAAAGTTGAAGGTTACGTGTATGCCATAAAAAAGTTTTGAGTCTCCTGTATGCCATGACATAAACTTTCGTTTACCCGTGCGTCACTTTGGATGGAATCAGCACTAACGGAGACTAACGGAGGTTTGAAAGATCTATTTTGCCCTTGCTCTATTTCAGCCACTTTGGATGGAACATTTAGAAGAGAAATCGGCGGCGGCGGCGGCGACGCCCGGCGGCGGCGGATAGACGAGGCGAGGCGGCGGCGGCGGCGGCTAGAGAGGTGGCGGCGGATAGACGAGGCGCGTCGCCGGATAGGCGAGGCGAGGCGGCGGCGGCTAGGCTAGGGTCCGAGGCACACTGGAGAAATTGCACGGGAGAGGATTAGTAGAGATGAAAATGCTTCAGGGGCAATTTAGTCATTTTCATACGTGGGTTCCACATGTCAGAGCTCATTCGCTAACAGAAGGTAGATGGAATGGCACACGGGTAAACGAAAGTTTGTGTCATGGCATACAGTAGACTCAAAACTTTTTTGTGGCACACGCGTAACCTCCAACTTTCTTAATGGCATAGGGGTAAAAGACTCCCTCCAGCAGGGTTCACAATCGCGACCCTGAATCGAAATCCGCTCATGAGCAGTATCATCAGATACTGTGAAATCCATCGAAAATTGATGATACTGTGAAATCCATCGAAAAGCTGAAAAACTGATGTAATCCGAATAAATTGTGTCAAAATTTAAAATTCAGTTTGAATACTTTTTGTTTGACCGAAAAACCAAGTGAATTGTGTTTTTTTGGATCGAACTACAAGAACTAAGCCAACCAGAGAGGGGTGAATGGTTGGTATGCTCAAAAACCGAAACTTTTAACGGAAATAAAAGTTACCCTCAAATTCGACGGAGATCAGTCTGACCGAAGTTGTCCTGCTGGTCTGACCGCGCCTGTGCCGTCGGTCTGACCGGTGTAGATCGATCGGTCCGACCACCCTGAGATCGCCTGCCATGCCTGTCGACGTCGCCGGTCTGACCGCCTTGCGCCCGCAGGTCTGACCGGTGCTTGCCGCCGGTCTAACCGCCGGTATGCCGCCGAAACCCGATGAAACACAGATCGAAGAACTCTTAAAGTGGATGACGACTTTATTGATTCTCTCTGTGTTTACAAAGTGCACCAACAGCACTCCTTACAAAAATCTCGACTAAACACGAAACCCTTATTCAACTATCAACTCAATTGCTTTCAAAAGCGATACTGGGAAGCCTTACGCTCCCCCTCTATTTATACCCGAGGCAAGCAACCTAAAGCCACGAACCAAAATCATACTAGAAATCCTAATCACCCTAGGAAACCCTCTAGTAGAAGAAATAAACTTTACATAACCAATCATACCAAATTTGGACTCCTTCCAAATTCGACTCCGCATCCCATACGCACACAATACCTCCATCGTATACCATATGGAATCTTCACCAACCACGTGTATTGAACTCTAGTCTTAGTATCCCGCATGATCTCTGACCACCACGGACGTCGTCTTATCCCCAAGCTGACTCCCGGTCCATCACCGCAAATACTCTCCCGGCATCCCGAGTCACCTACACATAGAACAAACAAAGAAACCATATTCCGAGACCAAACTATCCCCAACTTGACTCATTAGTAGCTAACGACAGTATTACATACGCATAGTATCCATCTAGAAGCCATAATCATGAAACAATCACGGATATCCAAACAAATAACCCGAAACCGAAACCGACATAGAGTCGGCCGGTCAGACCGCGGGCTGCACCGGTCTGACCGGCAGCACATGCCCGGTCTGACCGGTCCAACAAACAGCAGTACTCACATGTGAAATCCAATCATCTCCAAAACCACTTCGCAAATAAATTCCAAATAACAAAACCAATAATCTCCAATGCCAATTGTTCATCACAGAATAACAATTAAAAATACCTTTGATTTTACATTTTTGACTGATCTAGAAAGTCCGGATAGTTGAGTTGTGATTTAAATTCATTTGCACATAATAAAGGCTAGCTTATGCCAAAATGAAGCGGAGGCTTGGGCCGGATCATTATCCTTTTAGGGTTTCACCTTCATATATATCTCTTGTAAGACGCCGTTCGACGTTCTAACCTCACCTCGATATAGTGAAGATATTTTGCTGGCTGGCGCCGTAGTTTTTTCTTCTGTTTTAGGAGAGTTTTCCAAAATCCAGTGTCTTCTGTGATTGATCTATTATTTTTTATCGTTTATTTTCCTATCGTTTCCAAACACGGATTTCGTGAAACTGGAATTGTGAACACTGACCTTGAGAGATCATCTAAGTTTGACTGTTAGGTGGTACAGATCACCGATCGAGTGATGGGAACTTCTGGTGCCAGTAAAGTAAACTGGATTTTGTTTGTGGTACAAAACTAAAATCGCAAAATTACGATGCTGTAGAATCAGTTTGCCTTTACTATATTATATTATTGTATGTTGCGGATGGCTTAGCAATATTGATTTGGAGGAAAATTTTTTAAAAACCATCCATAAGTCACTTAAAGTTGATATTCCATCCCATAAGTTATTTTGTTGTAATTGCCCACCTCTACTCAGTTCCGTTGTAAAATCCACCTTAGTGCGTATGTGTTTAACTGAATCAACATGTTTTCATAAATTATAAGCCATCAATGTGGTGTTTACCAAATTAAATACTTTTAAAGTATAATCTGGATACTTTTTCGGAGATTCCACAAATAGAAATGGTGATGAGAGCTTAAATGTTATCGCGTTGAGATTCGCTATTCAGCTATAAGGGATCGATTCAATTAAGCATGAGTGCATTAAAGTGTTTTTTTACAACAAAACTGATAGGGAGGTTGATATTTGCAACAAAATGATTTATGCGGTGAAATGTTAAATTTCAAGTGACTTCTGATGTGTGTTTTTTTTGTTGTCCTTTTGTTTTCTGCAATTTTCCCTTGATTTTGTGGCAGCTCCATCCTTTGCTTTTTAGCCACGACCAAAGCTTAAATTTTAAAACTTATTTTAGAGTTAATTTTGATTGTTATTTCGTCATAAATAGTTTTTCAACACCAGTTTTTAAGCTCTATAGCACACGTATAAAATTTTTACTCATAAATAACAAATTATTTTGAGTTGGCATTACGACTTATCAGTTGTAGTCAAAGCGATTGGACTTACATATAATGTTCTCATATTCTTTAACCGACCAAAATCGCGCTTTACATAAGAACTGTTGGAAGTTCTTTGTAGTTTGCTTCACATCAACCCACTAACTTAGGCCCTGTTTGTTTCAGCTCAGCTTAAGATTATTGTAATCTAAAATAAAATATTGAGTTAGATTACTATAAACTGGATTATAATAAGCCGGCATAGAATAAGCTATAAGCTGCTTGTTTCTCAGTATTATTAGATGTTTGTTAGTTGTTAGCCACCCAATAATCTAAAAAGCACCTTTAAAGTGGATTACTAGATTATAGAAATCTGGCTTGTAGATTGTAATAATATATCATAATAAGCTATTATTTGTTTCAGCTTACTCCTAATAATCTTAAGCGGAATCAAACAGGGTCTAGAGCACTTGCAACGCGTTTGGTTGGGGGAATTGTTATGGGGAACGAGAGTTATTAAATCTATTGTTTGGTTGGAGGGCATGGAAGTTCTAGGATAGATTGGGAAGAGGGGTTTAAGAGCAAACGCTTACCTTTTGAGATAAATCTTAGTCCTATATCATGACTTAAAATTCAATTCCCACCCATTCTTTACATGATACTCATCTTTATTACCGAACAAAAGATAAAAATGAAACTCCCATAACCAATTCCTTCACCAACTCTCTCTTTTAGGTCCTCTATAAAAAGGAACGGGAAAAACGTAGAAATTAAAGTAGATTATAGAAATTGAAAATATGGTAAACAGAGAGAAAAACTCTTTGATTACACCACAAGAGACACTCAACAAAGAAAAGTTTCACAAGAGGTCTAACCGCTTGCTTATTTTCCTATGAAATTGACGGTAGAAATGCAATCCTATGAAAAATTTTCTATCCTCTTCTTATGAATCAAAGGGCTTTATAGAAAATAAATTCTCTAAAATTCATTTGCTAATCCTCAATTTCAAAGGGGCTAAAAAAAGCCGTTGTGGATTGTGAAATTGGTTTGCATCTTGGAGCATCATCACTCACGCCGCCGCCTACTCCTTCCGTCCCAAAGAAAAACAAACCATGGGTTTCCGTGTACAACTTTGACTGTCCGTCTTATATAAAATTTTTTTATAATTTATATTTTCATTGTTGTTAGATGATAAAACATGATTAACATTTTATGTGTGACTTTTCTTTTTATTTTTTTAAATAAAATGGACGGTCAAACATTAGACCAGAGTTTGTCTTTTTTTTTTTTCGGAGGGAGTACGTAGGTACTACAGTCCCAGAAGAAAGTGGATCCTCTCAAGAAAGAAGAAAAAAAAATAAATAAAAGAAGACGAAAAAGGAAATCGTCGTGCGGCGTCCGCTCGTCGTCGACTCGCGAGTTCGGCCGCCGCCACCGCCGCCGCCGCCGCCGCCGATCCCCATCCATCCCGCGAGCAAGCAAGGGCGCAGGCATCCTGGTGAGCGCCCAGCCCATCCTCTTTCTCATCTCTAGAACCACGCACTTTACTTCTTATTCTTCTCGAATTTGCGTAAACCCTAGCTTCTGTTCTAGAAATTTGCCGCAAACAACAGTTTGTTTGTTAAAAAATATAGTAAAAGTTTGCGGATTCCCCCCATTTTAGATCCGCCCCTGGGCTTGGCTAGCACAACATTTTTTAGTGGGGGAAGGAAGGGAAAGGAATCGGTGGGTGGATCGATGCGAGCGTTCGCGCGAAATCTGGCGGCCATCATCCCTCTCGCGCGCTGCAATGCGACGGCGACGACCGCGGCGGCGCCGTCCTCCCTCGTCCTCAAGGTCGGCGACACGCTGCGCGAGCGGCGGCGCTTCACGGATGGGGAGGTGGAAGCGTACGCCGCGGTGAGCGGCGACCGCAACCCGGTGCACCTCGACGACGCCTTCGCCCGCCAGGTGGGAGGGTTCGGCCGCGGCCGCGTCGTGCACGGCATGCTTGTCGCCTCACTCTTCCCCGCCCTCATCGCCGCCCACTTCGTACGCCGCCCCTCTCGTCTCTCTCTCTCTCGCTCGCTCTCATGCCTGCCAGATGGTGCACCGGCATTTCGTCGAGCACTGCATCGGCATGACGTGCTGGCCTGGCCCTTCTAGTATCTGATGCTGATGCTAATGCAGCCTGGAGCCGTGTATGCGAGGCAGTCGCTCAAGTTTGCGGCACCGGTGTATGTCGGCGACAAGGTTCTTGTGCAGGTTCAGGCGCTGCACATCAGGGCCTCCACAAAACACATGTATGCTCAATTCATCTTTTCATTTCCTAGTCATCAAGACTAGATTGTTTGGAGTGAATCATCTTCTTTCTGACAGTGTCAAATTCGGAACCAAGTGCTTCACGAGTGACAGTGATGACCTCCTAGCTGTCGATGGTGAAGCTATGGCTGTGCTCCCCTCGCTTTACCTCAGACAACAACTGAACCAAGTGCCTCCCATCGTTGATTAAAGACTGGAAGCATCGTCAGGAGTGGGACAATATGTGATTTATGTTCTTTTGGGTCTGTAGATGCTTTGACAAGATAGGAAGGCTATATGTTGTTTTGCTGTTCTCGGTAGTAGCTGGCTCCCTTGTTAAGCTGGAATTCCCAGCCTTCTGTACTTCATCAAACCTTTATTCCGTTTCCAATAGAACCTGGGGTAAATCCCGTTATAAAAAAAAAGGGTACATCACTGATGGTAGCACTGGCTAGTAACTCTCAGTGCACTCCATTACTCTAAATAGAAGTCCCATGGTTTGGGTCCTTTGTTGTTAAAACATTTATAATGTCTCATGATTTAGTCAGACAGCATCTTCAAAACTGAGCTTGCAGAGCAATTTGTTTGGTTTGTGTTGCTCACTTTAGTAGAAGATGATGTAAAATCTGCACTCGTGAGCGCCTGCTCAACACACAATAAAAGTTCTTGACATATTGTTCAAGTCATATGGGTTTTAACTATAACATGTCAACCTGGTTATTGAACTTTTGCATCATGCAAAGAGCAACATAATAACTAGAAAGAGCGAGTGTCCCAGCTCCTCAGCATTATGCCACTCAGCCGCTGCCACTGGCCACCATGCCTTGTGCATCGTTCCTAGGTCTTTGGCATTATGCAATGCCTACCATGACTCTGTTGGTGGAAATGTTGATATACTAGGAACACCATTTTGAAGTATCATAAATTGAAAGTGAGTTAGCACTCAGCACTCAGGCACATATGGGCATTGGATCAACGCCAACCAGGACCAGAAACAAAAGTCTAGTGCAAGTCAGCTAGTAACTGAACAGGTAGTTTTTCATCTTTTTACAATATTTTTCTTTCTCTGATCTCTGTTTTTTCTTTTCCTGGATGATTGGTATTTGATTGAAATGTGAAATATGAAATCAATGAGTTCAAAGATGGCCTGGTTTTATGATTTAGATTAACTTGAATCAATCAAATATGAAGGGGAACATAGGCATTCTGTCTGTCTTTAGCAAAGTAAATATGTAGTTGCTTGTTTGTATGTCAGCTTTGAGCCCAACCAGCTTTATTCTTGCCATGCTTTTCTCAATAAGTCTCAAGTATGAGCATTATGAGACTTCCAATTTCATCTTAATAACTTCACTGATAACATGTAAATTGACGATAGGTTCAAGCCTGTAAATATTATTAACTTCATTGAGAGAGGCAATTGCGCTGCGATGAGCTGCTCTGCCTCTAAATTCTGAGAACAAACCAATAGCAAGAACTTAGCAAAAAGGGCATTGCCTGCCCTCTTGTGCTAATCCATTGGTAATGTTGCTACTGCTACTGCTAAGTACTATACTGCCTCACTAGAAATAGAGAAAAAAATACTCCATGTGACAAAGCTAAAACTAGAATAATACTATCACATGGTTTTCTATCATTGGTATTCAGTTATTGCAACTGAAGAATGCGAAAGTTGGTATCATGTTTTAGTGGCATGAAATTAACTATTACGCGTGATAAGGAGGTGGTGTTAATCTCGTATCAGGAATATGTCAGGATGATGTTAAGCATTTAGGGGCTGTTTGGTGCGTTGCCAAAAATTATGTCCCTTATTTGGTTTGTAGCCACAAATTTGGCAATGCCAATTATTTTGGATTGGTTAAGTTTGGTAGCAATCCAAACAACCAACTCTACCAAAATTTTTGGCTTACCAAATCTTGCTATAGCAAAAAATTGGCAAGGCTAGCAATGGTTGAGAAGAAACAAACACTTAGATTTTTAGCTTATTTCCATCTTTCAATTGCTGATGTTCTGGGTATGGATGCTGCATCTGTGGCATAAACTAAATGAAATCCTCTTTCTCGTAGGCCTCACTCGTGTGCCACTGCCCAAACTGGCAGATCTTGATAGGTGGCTTTGCAATCTTTGGCCCCCTGAACCTGTCCTTCTCCATGGCTGGGGCCACCACCACCTCCTCTCCCCTGCGGAGGATGGAGTCTGTCTGCCGCCACCTCCTCCCAGCATCACCGCCTATCCTTTACCAGGTACGGCTACCTTAAGAGGAACTACTGCAACTTATCCTCTCTATAGCCTGCAGTCCCATCGAGTACCTTTCTAACTAGTGTTTCTTGGGCTTCAGTTTTCTTGTGTTCTAATTTTTATGTTGTTTTCTGCACAGAATCCGTTAGGTGCCATCAGGCTGGAGTCATCTCCAGTGATTATTGGGGGGATGGTGCTGGACATCCATGCCAAGCCATCCATGCAGCCGCATCCTGGAACGACTGTGCCTGGGATGGTAAACCACCCATCCAGCTCTTTATTAACTTCTTAGCTTGAGCAAACTGCTTATTTGCTGGTATGCAAGAAGGATGGCATATGTGTGTGATTGAATGGATCAGCATGACCAATAATACTATTCAATGTAAACTAGTGTTGAATTCATTATATGAGGAAGAAGGTTCTGCAGGATGATGTTTGGGTTGTGATATCCATAAGCTTGGTACTGTATGCATCTTATTCATACAGAGGTTTAGGCCATAAATCTTGTGAGCTTTAACTTCTTCCATTTCAATCATTTATGAGAAGTTGAAGTAGGATGTTTTTTTTAAACCTTTTTAATTTTTAATTGTAAAAATAAACCCTTCCAAAACTTATTTTCAAGATCTGAACCTTTTGGCCATGCCAACCAGGCTGGCGTGGCAAAACAATACTGTCACGCCTGCTACGGGTGGTGTGTTAGTGTTGTTTTGTCATGCCAGGCGGGCTGGCGTGGCCAAAAGCTTCAGATGGAAAAAAGTTTTGGGAGGGTCTACTTTTAAAATTAAAAATTCAAAAAGTTAAAAAAATTAAAAAATCAAGTAATAATGCATTTGAATTTCCTAGGTTAAGTACGTCAGTGGGGGAGTAGCAAGAAATATTGCCGAGTGCATTTGTAAGCTTGAGACTCGACCATTCATGATTAGTGTTGTTGGAAATGATATGGCAGGTATTTCTTTTATCTATTTGTGAAGATATAGTTTTTTTCTAAATTGGTTTACTCATTTTGAATTACTCTGTCCTTTTCTGCTCTCTGGGTAGTTATTTGCTTCAATACTTTCCATTTTTTCTACTGCAGGGGATTTCCTTTTGAAATACTGGAGGTCGGCTGGACTATGTACAGATGGTAAGTGTGAAGATATTCATATTGTTGTATACATCCTTGAAATTACAGTCTAATCCTTGTTATGTTTGTTAGGAAAGGCTGTAGTTTTTCATGTGTAGTGAGATAATAGGCTCATTATTTATTTTATTTGCATTGCGTTACTGGTTGAATATCTATAGATATGGGCCTACTTTTGATGCAACAACCAATGCTGAAATTACAACAGCAACATATTTAAAGGGTATTTTTTTGTTCTCTACAAAATATGTACTCCTTTAAAAGCCTCTAGTGGTGGTGGCAGTGAATCTGCCACCCCACTATTGCTTTTGTAGTTCTGTTTGGTATTCAAGGGGTTCAGATAAAATGAACTTATTTCTTATAAATATATACTCACTTTGGTCATAAATTTTTATGTTTAGGTTAAGATTCAGTCAAACTTTTGAAACTTTGACCATCAATAATTTCTCAAATGGCAAAAATGGAAAATGGTAAGCACAGCTTGTCCTTGAAAATTACTATCATAATGTCAAAAACTTTTTAGAATTTATAATATTTTAATATAAGATTGATGGTCAAAATTTTAGAAGTTTGGCCAAATCTTTTCCTAAATATCAAATATTATGACCGGAGGGAGTACATAGTTTTCCTTCTGTTAGCTAACACTGTTGCTAATAATTACATAGGAATACTGCAGATTGATGACGTAACAACCCCAATAGTATCAAATGTGTTTGATGGGAGCGGTGAATTAATTGCTGGCGTTGCAAGTGTTGGGGCAGTTGTAAGAATTTTGCAGCACATTGTGTAGTGTTCGATCTGTATCAACGCTAATGTTGACAAGTAATCACTGTACTTATCTCCATTTCTTTTTGGGCAGGAAAAATTTCTCTCTCCTAGCTGGATATGTCAGTTCCGTCTTCATATCTCCACTGCACCTCTACTAATGCTTGATGCAAATTTATCTCCTGATTCACTTGAAGCCGCCTGCAAAAGTAGGTTATTCCACCTTATTTCTTTACTTAGGCAGTGAGCTCCTAAGCTTATGTGATAGGCTGATATAGCTGATACTAGTATGCATTTGAACCAGGTAGAATAAATAAAGGGGTTACCTAATTTGCATGCATGCGGTGCTGGATCTTTGTGTTTCCTTTCCAACAAGGGTTGCAGCCGACACCACTTTTTCAATATAATAGCATCTGTGTGGCTGCACCTAACCTTCCCTTGCCTGCAAACAAGGATCTTTTGTTGTCTTGTGCCAACCGATGAGAAAGTCTTCTGCCAGAAGAAATGAAAAAGTAATAATGTATACAAGAAACATTTTTAGAGATATGCTGTTTGCAGGCTTTTTATTTTTAGCTCTATGATATAATCTTACAAAAAAAACAAGAAATCACGACCTTACGATTTGAAATTTTTCATCTCAAGAAAATCATGAGCTTTCAGCTTGATTCCAAAACCTTTTAGCTCAAGAAAACATGAGCTTTCGACTTCACCTTGAAAAACTTTCAACTCGAGAAACCAGCAGCTTTCTATATCCATTTGGAAACTTTCAACTCAATTTGAGTAATTTGGAGGTTTTAACTCAATATCAGGAATTCTAAGCATCTTTGAAGGCTAGAATGAAAATTTGAAGTAAGAAAATCAGGACAATCTCTGCAACACTGTGGAAACGTGAAACCTAAAAATTTCAAACTTTCACCTTAACTCTGAAACTTTTACCTGGAAATAAACTTTCAAACTTTCACCTTAACTAATTTAATTTTATAACTTTCGAACCTAATAATAGCAGAAATCTGTAATTCTATCAAAAGGGGAAATGAGTGAGAAGAATGTTCTTGTCATGCACTATTGGTGTTCCTAAAGAGATTTGAAAAATAGGTGCCTTTATGTTGAACCTGTCAATGGAACAACTGCCCCGCAGCGCTCGACATCAGTGTGGCTGATCAGCAGGGTACGAATGAGTGCCTCGCAACAAGCTTGGAATACAGCAGTTTTGAGTTTCTTATCTGATTAGGTGTCAATATTCTTAACATCTACCCTATTATACTTCCTCTAGTCAAAACTCAAAAATATTTGCGGTTCCCAGTACCACATAAATTTAACTGGACGGGGTACTAATGTATGCAATTCTAATTGTAAACACTCCCTAATTTTATAGAATTGTATTATTATTGAACTGCATTATCTCTGACTCTGAGTATACTGGTGCACTACTCATGTCCCTCCTGACCATCGTTTTGAGGAGCTTCCTTGACAAAAATGAGAAAGACAGTCCTGTCAATTATTACACCATTATGTTTTTGTCCTAATCTCTACATTGCATCAAAAAGTTGATGACATGCATGCTATTTTCTTCTTTTTTTTCCCCAGTAGCACATGAATCAGGAGTGCCTGTGTTTTTTGAGCCTGTCTCACTTGCGAAGGGTTCAAGGATTGCACCAATTGCAAAATATGTGAGTGCAAAGGATTGAATTGGTACTTATTACTATGTATCATGTTAAGGTCTTGTCACTTAATAATTTCCTGGTGATTCAGATTACTTACACTTCCCCAAATGAGATTGAGCTTGTGGCAATGGCAAATTCATTATCTCCTCCTGAGAAATATACTTTTGTCAAAATGGAGCAGTCCAAGAACAAAGCCAAAGCTGTAGAGTATTTGTTTGAAATGCTCAGCCCAGCAATGTTTTTCCTCCTCGAAAAGGGCATAAAGTTTCTTCTGGTGACGCTTGGCTCAAATGGTGTTTTTGTTTGTTGCAAAGAGAGCACAAGTTTGATGGACCAGCGAAAGTCTGAAATGATGTCTTTCTCAACTCCACTACTTCAAAAATTGGAGCGATGTTTTCCATCTAACATGCTTGTAGATTTGCCTAGAGAAGGCTCTTCCAGAACATGTGTTTTTCATTTTCCTGCAGTATCTGCCTCAGTGGTTAGCCTCACAGGTGCTGGTGATTGTTTTGTTGGTGGAGTCATTTCAGCTCTATGTGGAGGTTTGGGTATGATGCAATCTGTTGCGGTTGGGATTGCTATAGCAAAATCATCAGTGGAATCTGAAGCTAATATACCTGATAAGTTTTCTGCTGCAACTATCGCAGGTCTGCTATAGTAATTTGTTTTCATCTTGTATAGTGTACTTCTGAAATTTCAGATTAGATCTTAGTGCTGTCAAATTTATTTTATTGCACAGGTATAACTCCTTGCATTTCCATTTCTCATGCAGATGATGCAAGAAGAACATTGCTATCAGCTAAAATGATGTGGTGCAAATAACCATTGGTGTTATCTCGTGAAAGTCTTGGTGGGCATGTAATTTCCTAATACCGTTTGTTGATTAGGCTATATATATATATATAAGGCTGAGTGTGGATTCAGGTCGTGGGCTGGTGACAACTTAGCAAGTTTAATGTAGTAGATTAAGGAGCACGGCAGGTTTCTAAATTTGTTTGCATGTACCTATGCCTTTATACTTCGTCAGTTTCTGTAGGCTAGTGATGATGCCACGTTTGCATCTGTATGATAATGTCACATCAGCGTCACGTAGGATCTCGAAAATGGTCGTGGCAATCTTGAACCAGAATGATATATTTTGTGGTACTAGGAGTTCTGGTGGATATCACTATATAAAAACAATCTCTGTGAGACAAATCTTAAAACTAAAAAGACAATTCTCTTAGGGAGTAGGGAAAAGATGCATTATTTTCTTTTCTTTGCTTGTGATGATTAGTTCATCAAGTTGGTAAAGTAGCTTGGGAAGTCATTTGATACGAAAAAGCTAAATATGAGGAAAATAAAGGATTGGTGCCAGAGGACTCACATGTATGTGTGTGCTCATAGCAAGACACCCTTAGCACTTTAAGCATAAGCATTTCCCAAATTTGATTTAAAATGGAACATCATACTATATTTTTAATCTTATCCTTGAGCTATGTTGAGATAGATGAGTTTCAAGGAGTTAGGAGCGGGAAGGCGAAAATGCTAATAAACGGTCATCCGCGTGCCCGCTCCCCTGCGTGGCACGTTGGCACGCGCGGAGGGGAGGGGCGGGGGGACGCGCGCGTGGGAGTGGACATGTGTCCCGCTGGTTTCTGATATCTTTTTTTCTTTGGTTTTTTCCTTCTTTTTTTTTGGTTTTTCTTTTTTTTATACATATAGGATACAAAGTTTGTATACATGTATACAAAGTTTGTATACGTGATATTATTTCTAGGTTTTTCCATATTTTTTTAATACGTACGTATATAAAGTTTGTATACGTATGTATACACACTTTATGTATAAATTTTTATACATAAAAAAAACGTATACACATTAAAATATATATTTTTATATGTATGTATATATACGTATAAAGAGAGGAGAGAGAGGAAAGACTAGAGGGAGGAGGGTTGTCGTGTAGCTCGTGCGTCATGCGCGGCACATGGATGACCGCGTATCAGCACCGCCTGCGGGAAGGTGGCCATCATCCACGAAGTTGTGGGTATCCCTTTACTCTATACGACATTTTCCTTAGCTGAAGGGTTTGATGGCTTTAAATTGACTTCGCCAAAAGGCCTCATCTCCAAAGCCCAGCTAGCGAGGTGTCCCTCTCAGTGTAGAGCAGAGTTCATCACCTCGCTCTTGTGAGAGAGAATAAGGGGAAGCTCTAGAGGAGTGTTGGAGTTGCTGACACTCTTTCCACTCTTGTACCTCGATGGATGTTTCTTTTTATAAAAGTAAGTGTTCATGCTTTCTTTTGGTATTTACTCTTCTTGTATAAGTAAAATATATGCTTATCATTGCAGGTTCATCGCTTAATATTTATGTTAAGTACTCTAGTACTAATACTTTGGATAAAAAATGAAGTTCTTGGCCAAGGCTAGAGTAGTAATTGATAATGCAAACGTAGTGTTTAGGTTATAGGTTACATTTATTTGTTGTGTGTTTCATGGGCTATAGAGGTAGGCGACAAATGGTAACAGCCTTGATCGTCTTTTGTAGTCCTCCACATTCCGGTACGTCATTGGGCTGTAGGCTGGATTCGCTTGGCAGACCAGGGGAAAGTCGGTGCCTGAAGCAAGTGATAGAGTTTTACCTTAACTTAATTGAAGAATTTTAACCCATAGAAACCCTCCCTACTCTCCGCCTACCATTTTGTTGTTGTTGGATGAACTTGATTTCTTGATGTTATACACATGTTCCTTGTGATTCGATACCCTTGGAATACTCTGAGGTGAAGTGTTACAGCGTTATCCGTGCGCTTGCGGATTTATTTGTGATCGTAACAAATACCAATAAGCATTTCTGGTGTCGTTGCTTGGGAATAGTTGTTATATTATCTTTGAACCTAGTTCTCCCTGGTATCTTTTCTTTTTATTTCTTCTTTTCTTTTCTTTCCTGCCATGGAGTAGCTATCTATTCAAAACTCATTCTCACATTTGACTGGCTTTATAACCATGGTTCAGGGGCAAAATCCTTCTCGGGGTGCGACAGTGAAAACCCCTACCATCATCTACGAGAGTTAGCAATTGTGTTCATGCCTGACAATCTCAGGCATGACGCAAGAAACTTTGAAGTGGAAGTTGTTTCCGTTCTCTCTCATGGAGAGGGCGGAACAATGATACTCTCATACCATTAGGAAAACAAACGGTGAATGGGAGGAACTCAAAAGTAGGTTCTATCTTGCTTTTGTCTTGTTAACCTATGTTGTCTCCCTACGGATGGAAGTTCTCGGTTTTCAATAGTGCAAGAAGGAATCTATTGAAGTAGCTTAGGCTAGGATTTCATTGTTAACTCAATTTGACCCAGATTTGTCTATACTCGACCATGTTACAATATTTCGGTTTGGGTCTAAACAAGGACTCTGCCTCATATCCCGGAGGTTCGTTTGCACACAAAACCACAACAAATGGAAGGAAACTCTTGGATCTTGTCCATGGAACATCTTGTTCGTCCACAACGAAACATCTCCTGCTCCGGGTACTCCCTATGAACCTCTAGAAGATAATTTTCTCAAGGAAATTGTGAGGGAATTAACTATCATCATGAGCGATGAATGGTTAAGAGATGTAGAGGTTTCTTCCGAAGTAATTCGGACTAGCTCCCTATCGTCCCTAACTATCCAATGTCTCGTGATGGAGGTTACAGTGAATGTTCTCGATAATCCCACTGCCGGTGCTAACATCATGTCCACAACCTTTGTATTAACTTGCTTAGGTGACAAGCCCCAAATTCAAGTTCTTGATTAATCATTTATCTACAATTGAGTTGCTATCTTTCGTGTTCTTGCTTGTGTTCTTCAATACGCACGTAGGGATTAGTCTTCTTGGCAAGATCTATCGGGTTTCGACATGGTTGATACTAGAGGAGAAGTGGTGCTGCGATTGCAGAGTTCGGTGTTCTTCAATACGCACGCAGGGATTAGTCTTGTTAGCAAGGTCTATCGGGTTTCGACATGGTTGATACTAGAGGAGATGTGGTGCTACGATTGCAGAGTTCAGATCAACGAAGTCAGCTCGTGTTGCCATCACGAGCCATTAGTACGAACCGACAAAACCTTTCGGAGTTCCTCAAGTCCTATCATAGAAGTTTATGGGATTCTACGTGGAGTGCCTATGAGGAACGAGAATGTCGAAGCCACCCTAGACTTCCACGTGTTCAAAGTCCCTGACTTCGATCTTCTGATCGACTATCCCATAGAAAAACTTCTATAATGTGCCTAATCCAGATTGTGCCTAAGGAGTTATGACGGTCGTTGAAAATGCCAAAAACAAATTGATCCCACAACGAATCGTCATGGGATGGAGGATGTGCCTAGATTACAGAAAACTTAGCAAGGCAACTAGGAAGGATCACTCCCCGTCGCCTTCCATCGACGAGATGCTAGAGCGGCTTACAAATAATTTCTTCTGTCTCCTTGATGACTATTCTGGCTATCACCAAAGTCCTATTCATCTCGATGATCAAAGCAAGACCACATTTGCTTATCGTCGAATGTTGTTCGGGTTGTGCAATACACCCATATCATTCCAAAGGTGCATGATGTTTATCTTCTCCGAAATGACGAATGAAATCATGGACGACTTCTCAGTCTATGGAAAAATCTTCGATCATTAACTCGAGAACTTAGACAAGGCCTTGCAATGGTGTAAAGAAAAGAACTTGATGCTTAATTGGAGAAAAAAAATGTCATTTCATGGTCAAGAGGGGATAGTCCTAGGACAGCGAATTTCTGAAAGAGGGATAGAGGTGGAGAGAGCAAAAATAGAAGTAATGAAGCAACTTTCATCTCTCAACAATGTAAAGGGAATCCACAGCTTCCTAGGTCACACAAGGTTCTATCGATGCATTAAAGTTTTTTTCTCAAATTGCTAAACCCCTAACTTATCTGCTAGCTAGATATGCTCCCTTTGAATTTAATGATGAGTGGTTAAAATCTTTCAATTTGTTAAAAGAATCTCATCTTAGCGCCAATCATTCAACCTCCTGATTGGTTGTTGGCTTTTAAAATTATGTGCGAGTTTAGTAATTATGTTGTTGGGGTCATTCGTGGTTGAACTAAAAACAGGAAGCACTATGCTATTCGATATGCTAGTCAAGCATGATAGAAAGCAAAGTCAGCCTGCTAGATGCTGAAAGAGACATTAGCTCAATTCTACTCCCTCCTTTAACTAAGTATATAAAAAAATTTAGCAACATCTAAAATATTAAATTAGTTTCATTAAATCTAACATTGAATATATTTTGATAATATATTTGTTTTGTGTTAAAAATACTACTATATTTTTCTATAAATTGGTCAAACTTAAAGAAGTTTGACTAGAAAAAAAAGTCAAATGACTTGTAATATGAAATGGAGGGAGTAGAAATCTGATAACTCGCTCTTTTCCACGTCAACATGAAGGCAGGAGACTCGGAGAAGTTCTGAACAAGAGACATTCTTTCCCCACCATCTCATCTCTATGATTAGCTCAGGTAAGTTTATAATTCTATGGTGTCCAGATCCTACAAAGAATGGATCAATAAAACCTTTTTATGTACAAGGAAACCAAATCTGAGACTGCACAAGGTTAACAAATGGACTATAAGCATGCATCTGTAAGAAGCAATGTACTTTGTGTACTTCGCTTCCTCTGACGGGCCGAAAAAGAATCAACTCATCCCCTAGCCTTCCTTTTTATCAACTCCCAAAAACTCGAGTTGCCAAAACCTCTGATGATCAATTCAGTGATACAAATGCCATCACTGCCAAAATATGGTTGGGTCATTGCTATAAACTGCACGATCCTGGATCTCTAAGATAGAGACATGCCAATCGACAAGTCTTGCTTGGATGCATTTACATAACACAAGTCCTGTTGGGAACAGCCACCAGCTAGTATCATCCCTGCCAAAAGTACCAATGCTTGTGTGAAAAGAACAGAGGCAGAGTTTTTGAGGTAGCAACAGTTATGGTAGAGCAGTAGCGAAATGTCATTTGGTTTTCAGCTAAGGTTACTTACCCGCCCAAATTCCAAGGTTGCATGCTTGGATGCCTTTTGGCTGAAGACTTGTAATGCACAAGTCCACACGCAAAGGCCACGATCTGCAAGGGATGAACCAAGTGTGAATAGATTAAGAAGATCCATAATGGAAA